AGATGTATAGGGTTTGAACATGGACATGGTATCACTGCCATTATTAGTGCATTTTCCTTCTTTGATATGGTTAAATTAAAGCTCAGGGTTAAAATGGTACATAGGCACAATTATGCAGTAATTGGCTGGTTTTCCCTTGTGTGAAACTCCCAAGTGAAAAGTTAGTGCAAGTTCGGTACTACAACACAAGGAATAAGTGATGTATAGATTTTAAGATAGTATGAGCTTTCAAAGCAGATGTACTTGCATTGCCTCAGTTTCCTTAAAAAAGACATTTTAGTTTGGTAGCCTTAGTGCAGCAACTTTTTTAAGCAACGACCCAAGATATACAGGAAGTATAAAAAGAGATTTATGAGACAACATTGCAGTGCAAGGATCTGATGCACATAACCACAGAGTCTGCTGAGCAAACAACAATCAGCAATGTACACCTCGCTTTTCCTGTTCCACCTGTAATATCGCAGAGAAGGCATACATAAACACACTGTGAGAGAGGGCCCACCGCTGCAGCTAAGGCTAGGAGTAAACATGTCCTGAAACCCACCACACACATGCAGACGTGGGGCTGGGGCTTCACCACGGTGGCGCCGGGGCAGGGCATGTGGCAGCAGCAGCTACTAATTAAGAGTGGCTCACTGAACAGCTATAGTTAGGGCTGGAGCTGCAGGGCTGAGGGGAACAGAGCGACAGGTCTGACACTGCGCCTGTGTGAGACTGTGTGTGTGTGTAAATATAAGAGTGTATGTGTGCTACTACCGGCCCTCAGGCTTTGGGGTAAGGCCCCAGTTCAACTCTTGCTGACTCAGATTCAAACAGTGCCTGTCTGGCTGCAGCCCTACTGGCACAGCCGGAAGTAGCGGAAGAAAAGCACTTTGCTCATTTACTCTCTCGGTCAGTTTGTGTGCATCTTTCGGTTTTGTATCCACTTTTATCCTAGTTCAACCTACTAACCAGCCACGAATATATTTTCCAAGCTTCTTCCCTTGCCAATACATCCAAATCGAATTTAAGAAACATTATTTACAGTCATGTTTTTGCATAGCAGGACATATTACACCAGGAATCAAAACAGGAAATTCTTTAAATAGTGAATTCATCTTGATTGATAAGTTAAAGCTCATTTGGCTCATTTCATCTTTTAGCTGGAGAGGAGATACTAAGTGCATCCTGATACAATCCAAGCTTAATTTTCTGAAAATTGGAAATAATACTGATTAGAGAATCTGTATTTAATTTTCCTTTATCGTGGCCGCACATAACAAAAAGACAAAGCACTAAGAAATGTATGTGCTTTAATTGTATGTGTTATAATCGTAATTTGTTTCAGTTGTACCTTGGGTTTGGGAATAACTGGGCTCCCACCAGTTTTATCAGATGCAAACTTTCAGAAGTGCAAATAAACAGTGTACACCCACAACTTTCAATGCATTTATATGCATAGTGGGCATGCTGCACGAGGCCAGTGATCTACCATATTGGGTAATCTAAGAAGAAAAGGTTCTCCTCAGATGATAGACCCATGGTTCCTCAAACTCTGGAAAAGGTACAACACGATGCTTGTGCTGCCCTTAGTGGTCAATTTTGGAATTAACTATTTACAGAAGTGCAGTCATTGTCGTAATATCATTGTTTGCAGTATCAGAGGATTGAATTGTTTAGATGAAATATTTGGTTGGATATCATATTTCAAGGGCCATGCATTCACACTCTGTATGCCAATAATATAATAATAATAATAATATATTTGAACAGTTGGATGGTCTCTAACTGCACTTGGTGCATATCATATGTAAATAACATATTTTTCTGGTATCTTGCAGCCGTAGTTACAGGGTAAATGCAAACAAGTTGACTGTAAAAGTTAAAGATGTTAACTGGTGGCAGCCATCTTAGATTCTGAGGCCAGAGTTGGTAAGAAACTTTTGAGTTTCCCACTTAGAACTCTGACTTTTAGTTTTTACCTTCATGGATTTTGAAAACTTTAACCTCTGAATTAAAATAGTACATGCAATGAAAACTATAACCTGCGACTAAGCACGGTCAATGGATAAAATAATTTTTCCACGTTTATTTTATTTTTATGGACAGCAAAAAGTTTAAGCATGTTTCTTCTTAGAAAACCAAGAATTCATAAAATAAAAACAGTACCATTGTGCCTGCGCAATCCCATTGTTATTGTCTTTGAAAGCTTAGTGGTGAGATTAATGCAGAATTCCTGCTTTTACTTCTTAGCCTCACTAAAAGTCTAAAAATTAGGTGTAGGCCAACTCTAAAAGTTGAGAACCCTTTTCTTGTCTGTGGGGAACATATATTAGAACATACATGGTGAATTTACCATCATACAAGATAAACATGCCTGAACATTTGACTACTTTAAGAGTGACAATCTTTTCTCAGAGCTTCCGTACTGGGAGGAGCCTTCAGAAAGCTTTATTGACATCTGCATGCTTTCTAACAAACTTCTCAAGCTGCCCATTTTCCTTTTATTTAAGCTCGCGGGACTGTAGTTTACTGACCGGTACACAGACACGTACTCACATACACACACTTTTACTCCTCTGTGTTTACAGTCTAAACAGAGTGCAACGGGAGAGTCGGTGTGTTTATTGTTTGTCTGTTCCTCTCTCTCCCTGTGTTCCTGGATGTTTACCTCTGCAGAACAATGGACTAGGCTGGGAAAAACCTGAGCATGGAAAGTCTTAGCTGTGTGCGTGTTCTTGCATCTATTGTATTTATGATTGTATTTTTATGTCCTCTAAATAGCAGGCTGTGTGGTCTATAAAATACAACCAACCACAGGCTCAGATGAACTGCTACTTGTGATTTGTGCACTTTAACATTTATTTCCTACCAAAACGGAACATTTACATTTAGTTGGCCAAAAAAATAAAAACCATTTAGCCTTAAATACATTTTTATGAAGCCGATGCATCAAGCAAAAAAGCTTTTCGATATAGTGATATAAATTTTTACTGCAGCAGGACTATGAACAGTGCATTAGACCAGGGCAATGTGACTGTGCCATGTTGGTACCTATAGCTTCTGAAAAGAGAAAAATATGACTCTTCCAGCTGAGCAGCATGTGTCAGTCTCTCTGTGTGTGGGTGCAAGATCTGGGCGT